AAAAAAAGAGAGAGAGAGGAATTATTTGAATACTAGGTTGAAAAAAACCTAGAATATGGTAGTTTTCCATATTATAAAAGAACATGATCATGTACATTATAGTATCTCTTAATTTCTAAATGATTGTGTTAACCCCCAAGAAAACTTAACGGTAAAGCAACATTCTTTAAAGCCATACCTGAAAGTGAACAAGTTTAGCAATGTTGGGGTCTGCAATATACATTTGGTGCAGCAGACAACAGATAAGGCACTGAACTTCCCGAAGGTTGCCGAGCAGATTGTCCTCTCCTTCCTCCACCTCCTTACTCGGACTGCTGCTGGTGATGACACTCTGAATGTTTCTCAGCAAGCTGTCCGGATTGACGCCCTCTGCGTTCTCCTCTTCAGTAGGTAAACAAATCTCTAAGAGAATCTGGACAGCGGCACTATCCTACAAGCAAATCAAACAGAACTTTCTGAAAAGTTGCTTTGAAAACCAAACCTAATTCTTTCTACATGAACAGAAATGAAGGTATAGTTTCTTTAAAAACACACACAAATTAGTGGCTCTCAGAGCAGAAGTAAGCAATTTATAAAACAATGTTCTGGCCGTTCTAAGGTCAGAAATCCCTTAAAAATGTAGCTAAAACCCTCTTTCCATAAAAAGTAACAAACACTGCATTGTTTCAGGGAAGGCACTTATATCTAAGGCAGATCCACAAGCTCCAGTTTAAAAACTACTAGAAAGGTAATCTGATTTAGTGGCACCCCAAAGAAGCCCTAAGGCAAAAACAACTTCTATCAGAATTTCCTTTCCTTCCTCTTAATCTATTCTCCTAGATCTTATCCTATATTTCCACCTTTTTCTCACTGGGTTACCAGCTAGTTAATTCTTATGAAGGTAGTAGATAACAAGGCCTACATCACTTCCTATACCTCTTTCCCTTTTTACCCTAAAGACAAGGCTCTTAGGCCCTGGTTTTACAAGGACAGATTCTATCTCACTACCTAATCCACCTGCACAACTCAGTGCAGCTCAGGCTATGCGTGTCATTTCATGGTTGAGTGTTTTTTAAAGGGTGACATACTCAAGTTCCCACTGTCTGAAGAACAACTATAATCAATCTCATCTGGTAAAAGGCATTACAGAGAGAGAGAAAGAATAGATGACATGCATCTCTGCAAGGCAGCCATTAGGTGGGGTAGAAAGCAATTACATGACTGAAATGTTTAAGAACATTATAAGAATTATAAAATTATGTTTTCTTTTCAACAAGTTAGCCCTTCTTTACAACCTGTGCTTGAGGTTGACAAATTTTGGGTAGTGGCTTTGTTTAGTTTTGTTTTAGGGGGTTTTTAGTTGTTTGCTTGTTTAGCTGATTTTATTTGCAATGTATGAAGCCAGAGCACGCCAGCATGACTTCTAACTCTGACATTACTAACTGTGCAACCTTGAGTAAATAACCAGTCTGGGTCTCCCTTTCCAAATTTATCAAAATGTAGGTGATAATACACCATGCCTCACAGGCTGCCTGTAAAAATTAAATGAGTTAATACATATATGAAGAACTTAGATTGGCACCTATGTAACTTACCCATGTAGTAAGCTATACGTAGGTGTTAACTACGGTATTATGATCCACAGTTTCTTATTCTAATTCATAGGAAAAGATTTATACTTTTCTTTTTTATTTTTTGGGGGGGTTTTGAGACAGGATCTTGCTATATAATTCAAGCTGGCCTTGAACTCACAGCCATCCTCTTGCCTCAGCCTCCCAAGTGCTGGAATTACAGGCGTACACACCTGGCAAAAGATTTACTTTAGAACTCAGATCTTTGCCCCCTGAAGTATTAGGGATTGAACCCAGGGACGTAGGCTTCAGAGCGCTAAGTTTACCAGGCCGCCCTGGAACTCGCGATCCTCTTGCCTCAGCCTCACAAGTAGGTGGGATCATAGACATGTAAAAATATACCTAGCCAAAATTTTAATAATAATAATAATAATAATCCCAGCAGGAAGTGGGGCAGCAAACACATTAGTACCAAATATAACAATATTTATATTGAGATAGAGACCATGGTGTTACATCAATTTAGGCCAAATTTTCTCACAAAACGAATATGCATCACGTCAAATTTTTCTGCTAACTGAACTACAAAAGAAGTATCTCACTATTGTAGCTTTTTCTGTACTACAGGTTAGGGGTTGTGGACTGGTATTAGTACTCCTAATTTTCCTACCACCAATGAGGAAATTTCAGAAAATATATTCCCTTTTTTTGGCAGTACCGGGGATTAAACTCTGGCCCGTGTGCTTGCAAGGCAAGTTCTTATTCCCAGAAAATACATTTCAAATTATAAAAAAAATTTCTGAAGACTTCAAAATGTTTTTAACGGGGCTGGTGAGATGGCTCAGTGGTCTAAAGCACCTACTTAGAACAAGCTTAGCAAAGCACAGGGACTGCGGTTCAGTCCCCAGCACCACATGCCAGCCAGCCCCGCCCCCTGGTGGGCTGAGCTGACCACATACACACACATACACACACACAGACAAATAAAAAAAATTTTTTTTAAATGTTTTTAACATTTTATCATGTCACATTTGCTACATTATTTAAAAACAACTACTTAAGATTTAGTGAAATTCTACATGGTTATAAAACCTTCTAAATATAAAGTTGAACTGCTTTTATTGTCACAGTATTTATTATTATCTACTTCCAGTTTTTCTGTTTACTATCTCCAACATTTGACTTCCATGTATATATATTCATGTTGTGTTGGGGCCAGTGAGATAGTTCAGTGCTCTAAAGCGCCTGCTTAGGCAAGTGTAGGCAGGCGCTGGGGACCACAGTTCAATCCCTGGCACTACATGCCGTGCCAGCCCCATCCTCAGAGTGGGCTGAGAAGGCCAAAAAAAAATAAAATGAGTACAAATTAAAAAATAATCATGTTGTAAAGCTCATTCCTGATTTCACTAAGAGAGTCTATATAATAATCAGAACGTAATCATCCTAGATTCTCTGGCAACAGCAATGCACAGAATGTCATGGCGCAGCAGGCAAAATGCGCCATCCATTTCTGTAATGATATTAGTAGGGAAGCCCTCGCCCATCTAAGTTGTACCCTGGAAAACTGTACCTGAGCAGCCAACAGTGCATTTTTCAGTTCTTCTCTGGTAACTTCTGGGGCATCAGTCTGTCCAACTAAACCTATCGTATTATTCTGGGAAGGCCTATCTTGCTCTGCTGTTTCCTTCAGGTGAGCACTAAGGTAAGCTTTAGATGCAAGAAGATATCCATTCAACATGTGTAGAGTGATATCCATCAGGGGAGGACATCTAAAAGAAGAGACAGATAGGAAGAATATAAATGTATGCCAGAACATGTCAATTCAGTGACACAGAAAAAACTGAGTATCACAGAGTAGTAAAGTTTTCCACCAAAACATTCTCAATATAAAATCATAATTTCCTATTCTCTATAGATTGTGTAGTTTCACCTGTTTCAATTTAGCAGCTAAAATAAAATACAAGTTACAGAGAAAAAAATGCCCCTTTTTTGCAGAAAATGATGTTCCCCATAAATCTCTTGGACATGCATTTGCAATACTGGTGTCAAAGAAACCTGTTCTGTCTGGAGAAGAGGGAGCTAGAAAAGATTATTTATCTTCTCCTATTTCTCCTTTGGAGCAAGAGAACAAGTCTGTATTCAGAGATAAGTCTGTGTTCCTTAACCTGGGAAAGTTACTGAGCCTTAGTTTCCTCATCTATAAAATAGGAACATGGATATTCATTTCTCTTAAGATTGTTGAGCTTTCTTTTTTTTTTTTTTTTTTTTTTTTAATTTTATTTATTTTTGGGTGTGTGTGGCCAGCTCAGCCCACCAGGGGGCAGGGCTAGCTGGCATGTGGTGCTGGGGGATTGAACCGCGGTCCCTGTGCTTTGCTAAGCTTGTTCTAAGTAGGTGCTTTAGACCACTGAGCCATCTCACCGGCCCTAAATGAGCTTTCTGAGGGATGCCACCTGGAGTCTCAGTTGTCTCTTGTGGAAAGTTCCAGAGGCCACCCAGCGCTTTGCTCCTGAGACCTTTGCCTCTCCCTAAAGAATAAAAGAGATCATATGATGGCAGGTGTGTCCAAACCCAAGGACTTGGAGATTTTGGATGATGTGGAGATGCCCTTCAGTGAGAACGAATGGGTCAGCCACACGTCTGTGGGGAATGCCCTGTACACAGAAGTGATGGCGGAGAACTACAAGACCGTGGCTTCCCTGGCTGCAGCATCCACAGACAGACCTGATGCAAACCCAGCACTGGAGGAAGAGAGGGACGCCCTCATCCAGAAGGGCTGGGAGGTTGGTCTTGCTGAGTACATCACAAAACTAAGAAGATAGACTCGCCTAATTTACAGACATTTCATCCAATAGGATGAAAGATTTCTGGAAATCCTCAGTGTTGCACAGACAAAAGTTAATTGTTGACCTTTTCTAGTTTTCCATGTAAAAAGTTAAGAGCTGCCTTAAACTACAGCAACTGCACTCTTATTTTTCCTGTAAATGCCTGGATTTCCACATATTCTGTGTTCATTAAAGTTACTTGTTCCTGTTGTGCAAAAAAATAAAAAAATAAAAATAAATGAAATAAAAACAAGTATAAAAAGAAAGCAATAACAAAAGATAAACTAGTAACCACTAGAATTTTAAATGCTGAGCCCTTTGTAAGAAAAGAGGCCCCATTTCTTAGTCTTCATCTCAGAGAAAACTAATGTGTGCACCCGGACACGCGCCACCGCGATTTATAAGGGAAACACTCAAAACCGTGTAAACATTCACCTACATGTCACGGTCTCCGCTATAGCAATGGTTCCTCAAATTGAAAATAAGAATCATCTTCCCAACATTTAAGAAGCATTTCTTTAAAAAAATAAAAAACCTCAAGCTACCCATGCATGGTAGTACTTGCCTATAATCCCAGCACTGAGGAGGCTGAGGCAGGTAGATTGCTGTGAGTTTGAGGCAAGCCTGAACTATATAGTGAGTTCCAGATCAGCCTGGACTACACAGTGAGACCCCCCATCTCAAAAAGCCAAAAGAAACCCTCACAACTCAAGCTCCAATCCAAGCATTCTCACGGCTTCTAGATGACACCCTGATAACCTACTTATGCAACACTGCTATGCAGCAATTCAGACAAATAATATAGAACTCTGCCTAACTAACATGGAAAACATATTCAGAACAGAAAAAGTTTGCTTTTTGTTTTTGTTTTTTGAGAAAGGGTCTCACTATGCAGTTCAGGCTGGCCTTTAACTCACTCTGTAGCCCAAGGTGGCCTTAAACTCATGGTGACCCTCCTGCCTCTGCCTCATGAGTGCTAGGATTATAGGCATGTGCCACCATGCCTGGCTCAAAAGTATTTTTCAAAAGAATAAAACAATATGCTATATATTACTTAGGTTTCTTTAAAACCATCTGAAGCCAATATATATATTACTAAGTACAAAGAAAAGTAAAACTACGTATACAATATTCTTTTTAAAAATTATTATTATTTGTATTTATTTATTTACTTATTTATTGTGTGTGTGTGTGTGTGTGTGTGTGTGGCCATTTCAGCCCACCAGGGGGCGGGGCTGGCTGGCATGGGGTGCTGGGGGATTGAACCGCAGTCCCTGTGCTTTGCTTAGCTTAGCTTGTTCTAAGTAGGTGCTTCAGACCAATGAGCCATCTCACCAGCCCAACGTATACAATATTCTAACAAGTTGCCTCTGGAAATAAAGCTAAAATTGAGGGCTAGTGAGACAGCTCAGTGGACTAAGCACATGCTTAGGCAAGCGCAGGGACCTGGGTTCGATCCCTGGGACCATATGCTGCGTGCCCAGATTAGTACGAGTCTGACCTGCATAGTGAGACCCTGTACCAAATACATTAAAAATAAATAAATAAATAAAAATAAAAAAGCTGAGATTGGTCAAAAGAGACCAAGAAAGATCTGGCTTTTCTTTTCATTAATCTTGCATTTTATTAAAGGTGTCCTCATTAATGGACAGGGTGGAAAATATGATTTGTACCCAGAAAAGGGAGTGGTGCAGTGAGACCCCAGGAGCTCAGCACGGGCCTCAGCAGGCCTCATCCACTCTCCTAACTCTGCTGCCAGGTTCACCCTGAACCTGTATGTGCGCTTTACATATTTATACCTTGATAGTGAGTGATGTTTTAAGCTGTAACAATGCTAACTTAATCAAAACAAATATTAAAAAGTGAAAAGGCAAAATAATAAAGCAACAAGGGATAAAACTACAGGCCTAGGAATATGGTTCAGTAAAAGGGCATAAGCTTAACACATACAAGATCCCAAGTCTTGCACCCACCCCATAATAATGGGAAAAACTTCAATATACAAAGACATGGTATCATTTACAGGTGAAGAGCTCTTTAATAAAAAGCTAATTTAAAAGCCTAAATTAAATGCTGTGCATAGTGGTGCATGCCTATAATATCCACACTTAGGAAGATCACTATGAGCTCAAGGTCAAACTGGGCTACACAGTGAGTTCAAGGCCAATCTGGATTACATAGTGAAATTCTGTCTCGAAAAATCAAAACAACAACAACAAAAACCTATCTTAAAAATATAAAGAAGAACTATCAATAGCTACACCTGTCATCCCAGCCCATGGGGGGCTGAGGCAGGAAGATAACCACAAATTTGAGGCCACCCTGGTCTACATAGTGAGTTCAAGTCCAGCTTCAACTTCATACCAAAACCCTGTATTCAAAAAGAAAAAAAAGAATACCAATGGCCAGTAAGTATATAAAAATGTTCAGCCAGGTGTTATGGCACACACCTGTAATCCTCCTAGAACTCAGGAGACTGAAGTAGGAAGACTACCATGAGTTCAAGGCCAGCTTAAACTATATAGCAAGATCCTAAAAACTACATAGCAAGGCCCTATTGTCCAAAAAATAAAATGTTCAACCTAACAAATTTACTATATAAAAGTTCAAGGGAGCCAGGGAGATGGCTCAGTGGAATAAACACTTCCCTGGCAAGTGCAAGGGCCTGAGTTCAATCCCCAGTTCTGCCAAAAAAAAAAAAAAAAAAAGTTCAAGAAGGTACAAGAAAGTCTACAATATCAAATACTACTATGGAATGTAAACTGGTCTACAGCCATATCACCCTGAATAACATCCGATCTCGTCTGATCTCGGAAGCTAAGCAGGGTCAGGCCAGGTTAGTACTTCGATGGGAGACCACCTAGGAATAGCGGGTTCTGTAGGCTTTTGCCCTCCCTGGGCCGGGGAGATAACTCAGCAGCGTAAGTGCCTGCCTGGAATGTAAACTAGTTAGGCCTTTCTGGATGACAAAATGAAATCATGAATTAAAAACCTTGGAAATAGCCAGGGATCATGGTACACACTTGTAATCCCAGTACTCTGAGAGGCAGGAGGATCATAATTTGAGCCCAATCTGGGCAATTCAGCAAGACCCTGTCTCAAAATTAAACAAAAATTAAAAAAAAAAAAAGGGTTGGGGAGATGGCTCAGTGGAATAAGCGCTTCCCTGGCAAGCACAAGAACGTGAGTTCAATCCCCAGTTCCGCCAAATAAAATAAAATTAAACAACAACAAAAAAAAAAATTAAACAAAAAAAAAAAAAAGAAGAAAAGTGGGGGACAGAGAAGGATACAGTTTAGTGTAAAGGCCCAGGTTCAATACCACACACAAAATAAAATAAAATATCCAGCAATAAATAAGGCACTGGGTGAAGCATACCACATCTATAAAATGAAATACTACATAGCCAATTAATATAAGAAACAGATCTATTAACATCAGAAAAAGTTCACAAGTGGTACATCCAATTTTAGTACAGTGCTGTCAATGCAACATAAGTGGCACATGCAAGCTATAAAAACACGGCATAATTTTGAAAGCATAATTTTATAATTCCCATGAACCAAACCATTTGAGGCGATTCATCTAACTGAGGTCACCTACATAAGTGGATTTTAACACTGATAAATCATTTGTTTTATTTTATTTTTATGTTTTTTATTATTATTATTTTTTTTTTTTTTTTAGTCATTTGTTTTAGAAGTGCTGCTTTTCAGCCAGGCACTGAAACTGTATGTCTGCAGCCCCAAATACTGGAACAGCTGAGGCAGGACGATCACCAGCTCAAGGCCAACCTGGGCAATGTATGGAGGCCCTGTCTCAAAATTAAAAGGAAACAGAGATGCAGCCTAGTTGTAGAGTACATAGCACACGTAAGGCCAGCACTCATTCCTCAGAACTGGCAGGAAAAATATGCTTCTAGTCTGGAAGTATTATTTACCAAGCTTTTCTTTTTATTCAATAGCTAACATGATTTGCACTGTTTATTCTTCTGATCCCTATTTCCTGTGTAACGCTGACCTCGCTGAAGCACAGCAAGCTGACTTAGCAGGTGTATCACTTCGCCCTCACCCCTTCGGTTGAATACACAGCCTCTCCAGCTCGGCCTTCTTTCTTGTAGTTTCCTTCCTGCAGCCCATCTGGTGTACAGCTTCTCTCGCAAAATCGCCACCTACATGATATGCTAACAGCTACATAATCTGACTCCAATCTAATTTTCCCCAAAATTAAACCTCTGCTGCAAGCTTTGTTCATTCTTCCTTCTACACCTTTGCTCATATGTAAATACCTTCTCAAATACTTTCCAGGACAACCTGAACTGAACTAGTATCTGTTCATCAAAATCTTAGGTCCAGGGCCAGGGAGATGGTTCAGTAGAATAAGCGCTTACCTGGCAAGCGCAAGGGCCTGAGTTCAATCCCCGGTTCCGCCAAAAAATCTTGGGCCAGGGAGATGGCTCAGTGGAATAAGTGCTTCCCCGGCAAGTGCAGGGGCGAGTTCAATCCCTGGTTCCACCAAAAAAAAAAAAAAAAAAACAAACCTACATCCTCTAAAACCCCCATGCCCCATCTTTCTCAAGCTTCTACCAGCACTTGATCTCCCTCAACTTATACACACCTTTGACAACATGGTATGGGGCATGCCTGTACTCCTGCATGTGGGAAGCTGAGGTAGGAGGACTGTGAGTTCAAGGACATCCTGGGGTAATCATGAGTTCAAGCCTGGGCTGGTCTACAGAGTGAGACTCTGGCTCAAAAAAATTGAAGAAAAAAAAGGCTAAGTAGAAATTTAAATGTTAATGATTTGAGTTCATTGATTGCTTTTTGAGGTGAAATCACTTCAACATATTTGACAAAGTGTTAGAAGCAATGTAGATTCAGTGAAGCTAATATCATGATTGAAGATACAAGCCGGGCATGGTGGATCACACCTGTAATCTCAGAGCTCAGGAGGCTGACGCAGGAGGATCACCATTAGCTCAAGGCCACCCTGGGCTATGTAGCCTGAAGTACACAGAGCAATCCTGTCTCAAAAATCAAAACACAAAAGAAAGCAAAACAAAACACATTTTGAAGATACAGTCATGGTTTTAAGGTATGTAACAACTCAAAATGAAACAGTTTTTTAAAATCCTTTTTCAACATGCTAACAGAAAAACTGTTTTTCACTGAGAGAGAAGAGCCACAATTCATAGCTGACAAAACCAAGACTGACATTTCTCTAAGGCTTTTACATTCTTAACCACATGATGAATATATTTTATAACTTATGTTGGATATTAAACTGAATATATAGTTCATGAATACAAACAACTAAAGAAAAAGACAAACAAGGCATACTGTCTAGTTATTGCAAGAACATTAAGACAGAGGTTAAACAAAATTTCTTCCAATTCTTTTCACTCTCTAGCCTGGGGAGATAGCTCAGTAGAATAAGTGCCCGCCTGGCAAGCGCAGGGTCTGGAGTTCAATCCCCGGTACCGCAAAAATTAATTAATTAATTAATTAATTTTGGGGGACCTGCCCATTAGCTCCATTGTTTAAGTGACTGTTTAACCAAAGCAGTCAGCCTCAGGATGTTGTGGTTCAATCCCCAGACACTCATGCCAAACCAGACCAGCCATGAATGCAGTCTGAGGCCGCCAAAAAAAAAAAAAAAAAAATCCTTCACTCTCTAGAGTATAACTTGGTAAAAGTGAAACTCAGATGACACATACCTGTAAACCCGCTGATCACACCTCAGGACAATGAGGGGATCTATCATCAGGTCATTTTGTGTATACTTTTGTTGCCGTACAAACTTTATGGAAGGTTGAAGTGCATTAACTGTCATTACCCACAGCCTGATGAAAAATTAATCACAATAAGCATTGATGCAAGACAACATAATGACCTAAATCACAATTAGCCACAAATAATAAACATGAGAACCTATTTTTAAAGAACTTCCTCAAACTGGAAGTAAGTCTCTGTTTCTTTTTTCTTTTCTTTCTTTTTTTTCATGGGGGAGGGGTACTAGGAATCAAACTCAGGGCTTTGGACTTGCCAGGTAGGCACTGTGCCACTGAGCTACATCTCCAGCAGTTTCTATTTCTTAAAGTTCATTCTTTTCCTTAAAGATATGACAACTTGTCAATCAGTATTCTTCAGAAAAGAATTACATTGTCACATACTCAATGTAAGTGGTCTTATGAAACTTTTTTCAGTAGTTAAATTCAGGTTATTGTACATTATCGCTGTTACAGACCTGCAGAGTGCCCACTGAATTTTACCTTCTAGGCATCACAGTATTAAGAACCATCCATAACTTATTGACTGTTTGAAGAATCCTCCGTGGAACCCCCGAATTCAATAGCTGGCTCATATTGGATGTCAATACTTCTGCATATGGTATAAGCTCACTGGCAGACAGTAAAGTCAAGTGCTCTATAATCTGCATCACTTGTGTGTGGTTTACCGGGACATCTGAAAATGCTAAACAAAAGAAAAGAAAATTTGGCAGTCATAATCTGAAGTCTACCAAGCAGGAAATAATACTGCTGTCTTATACTGCAGGCCCAACAAATCAGGAAAACAATGTTACTAAAAAATAAGTTTCCATCATAGCCAATGCAGACTGAATCTAAAATAAGAGCCTTTACAAAAATTTGAGAAAGCACATAGTTACCGCAACTATTTTTTCTTTAGGACAACAACAACAAAAACTCATTTAAAAAGTATTAGTAGCCAGGCATGATGGCATATGCCTGTAATCCCAGCATTCAAACTACACAGGGAGATCCCGTCTCAAAACAAAACAAAAATATTAATGACCCAAAGACAAATCTCATTTTCTTGGGTGATTCAGATTGCTTTTTAAAGCAATACTGATATAGAAAAATAGACCAAACATTGCATCTCTTAAATTAGATGTTCATATGAAAGGTTCAAACTTCTTGGCTCCTTTACAGGGTATAAGCACCCAGCAGATTGCTGTTAATAAAATTGTCCAGTCCTATCCTCCCAAATAGAGTAGTCACTAACCACATCTGGCTTTTAAGCATCTGAGGTGCAGCTAGTTCAAACTGAAATGTAATGTAAATGTAAAATACAGGGCTCGAGAGATAGCTCAGCGGTCTAAGTGCCTGCCTGGCTTCAATCCCTGGTACCTCATGCCGTGCTGGCCCCATGCCAAGCCATCCACCAAAAACTGGGAATGGTGGCGCACACTTGTAATCCCAGTGCTGAGGAGGCTGAGACAGGAGCATCACTATGAGTCTGAGCTGTTAGCAAGACCCTGTACTAAATAAATAAATAAATGATTTTAAAAATGTAAAATACAAAACAGAAAGTTAATATGGGTTAAAAACAATGCGCAATAATTTTATATTTATTTTACAATGAAATAATGTATTAGAAATATAAGGTTAAGTAAAACAAATATTAAAATTAGTTTTGCATCACTTTCCTCCCTAGCTATCCTAGCACAGGCAGCTGACTTGAGTGACAGAGCAGCCAGGCAGACCAGGAAGCTCATGGGAAAGGAACAGTACCGGAAGGCTGAAGCAAGAGGATCAGTGCAAATTCAAAGCCAGCCTGAATTCAAGGCCTACCTGAACTCCACAGCAAAACCCAGACTCAAAAAGATAAAACAGAGCCGGGGAGATGGCCCAGTGGAATAAGCACTTCCCAGGCAAGTGCAAGGGCCTGAGTTCATTCCCCAGTTCCTCCAAAAAAAAGATAAAACAGAAATTCAGGGAAAAAATTTAAAAAAAAAACAGCAAAAATTGACAAGACCACACCAGATCTCTCTGTCTAGGTTCAGAATCCATGTTCATGGTGCTAAGACAGCCAGCTTTGATATGGACTACAATTCCTTAGTTACATAAAGAAAAACACACTTGAACACAGACGTGAAAGGGCTGTAAAAGGAGATTAAGACCTCAAGAAAACAGTGAAAGGAATGCAAGAACAAAAAGAAGAAAGTCAGGGGGCAGCACAGGCCTTCATCACCATCAAAACAAAGAGGAAACCTGCTTAGGCAAGTGCAGGGATGGGTTCCAATCACCAGCACATGTCACACAGGCCCAACCCCCAGGCATGCTGGGCCACCAAGACTGGGCGTGGTGGTACATGCCTGTAATCTCAGCACTGGGGAGGCTGAAAACAGGAGGATCACTACGAGTCTAAGCTGCATAGTGAGGCCCTGTATCAAATAAAAGGAAGGAAAGAAGGAAAGGAAGGAAGGAAGGAAGGAAGGAAGGAAGGAAGGAAGGAAGGAAAGAAGGAAGGAAGGAAGAGAAAATAGATCAGTTTGATCCCCAGTACTGCAAGAGAAAAATATGAACACATCAAAACGAAATGACTGAAACTCTCCAAATTCAGAAAAAAACTGACTTAAAATATACACTGATTTATGCCCAGGAAAATGCTGCATGATTAGAAGATTTCAATTAGCTTAGTATCCCCTTGTACTGCTAACAGGTAACAGGATAAGCAACTTACTATACCTTCTTGTAGTTGTTTAGGAGAGTGGATTTTGGCATTATTAGTTAGAAGCATTCGCCTCAACAGGGCATCAGTCCCTGTGATTTCTTCTTCACAGATCCAGTCATCCACAATACATAGATGTGGGTAGTTAGTTGCAAGGAGACGTAGTAAAGCTGAATGCAACCCTTGAAAATTAACACCAAGTCAATTAGATTCTCCATTGTCAAAAAACAGAAGATTCCCCAACTTTATTTTCAGGAAGCCAACAGCCCCTGAGAAAAGTGGGTCATGCTTTACAGCTTCTCACACTGTGACGAGAGCAGTTCTAGCTTGGGAAGAAGCTCTCATGAGCAGAAAAGCAGATGCTATGCCACCTGACCACTGCAGAAACTGTGGAACAGAGCCCTAGAAATTCCTGTTCAGCAGTTCAAGCCAGATCTGCTTAAAAAGTTCCAATGCAGATATGCAGTGACTTGGGAACTGCCACTTACATCAGAAGTTCTCAGGCTTTTTCCTCCTCATGCCAAGATAAGTATCCCTAATAAGTCCAACATGTACATGGAAGACCACTAGTAATTGTTTTTGTTTTCTGCAGTGTTAGGGGTTAAGCCCAGAGCCTCAGGAACAGTAGACCTAACAATGTGTTTAAAAAAGAGTGGAAGAAAAAAAAAAAAAAAAAAAGAATGAGGGACGCACTCTCCATAGAGGTAAAATCGTATGTTTTTTGAAAAGGCCGACTCAGAAATTCTGATAGGGTTCTGTAGAGTGCATACTCATTCCTCCTCCAACCCTGTTGGAAATCACTGAGTAAAATTAAAGTTGTCCACTCTGTCTAAAAGTGGCACATTAGGCTGGACGTGGTGGCGCACACCTGTAATCCCAGCACTTGGGAGGCTGCTGTGAGTTTGAGGCCAGCTTGGGCTACAAAGTGAAGTGCGCTCAAGGTCAGCCTGAACTGCAAAGTGAGACCCTGTATCAAAAAGAAAAAAAAAAAAAAAAAATGTTTAAGTGGCATCTTTCAGTAAAACCTTCCTGAACAAAAAATTTAAAAAAAGAAATCCTTTTCTAAATCAAAGCCTTGTTTCTAAATTTTGCTTACAGCACAGTTTAAGTATTTATGCTATCGTGTAACAACAATATAATGAATAATGCCACACAAATGATTAGTTACATGCAGTAGCATAAACTAAGTTCCTAGCACGTAAGTACACTACTACTACACTATTATTATCATCATTAGTGAGAGTACAGGACCAGCACTAGTTGAATCAGTACTTAAGAGCCAATCATCCCCTTGTACAAGTTAAAGAAAATCATACCATTGTTTAATACCAGCAGAGATAATACCAGTTTCTCCTCATAAAAGTTGTATAAAAGTGATGTTTCTATGTTTGACATTATAACTATCAAAAGTAGTATTATTTTAAACCAGGCATGGTGACACACACCTGTAATCCCAGCACTCTTAGAGGCTGAGATAGTAAACTGCAAATTGAAGTCCAGCCTTAGCACTATAGTGACATAGTGGGACGCTGCCTCAAAAGAAAAATTGGGATGGGGATGCAACTCACTGTGGAGGCCCTGAATTCAATCACCAGCTCCTCCCACCAAAAAACGTTTAAATCTCTAAATACACACAGGAACATACATATACACAATCAAAATTATCCCAACAGTCAAAAATGACTGCTTATAATAGTGCAAACTGATTTATATTTTATGTTCTCTTCAGGAAAACAGGTTAATTGCCAAATGCTGCTAAATATGGTATCATAAGTATATAAATAAATAAATACAGTATAATTTCTTTGGAAACAGACTATGCAAATAAACAGGAAAAAAACCACACTCTACATTACAAAAGACAATACCTAATTTCTAAAAATACTACTATATTTTATTAGTCCTTACCAACCATTACATTTATCTACATTAATATACTACAGACTATGGAACAATGACAAACAGTAAGGTATGCCTCCACGTAATGATTTAGAAAGCTGTCCAAGTTGGTAGGGAGTGGGGGCACTCTTTGAAGAGGCAATGGTTTCATGCATAGTTGAAATTTATTTTTAACCTCTAGTACTGGGATTGAACTGAGGGTCCAACTCATGCTAGGCAAACTCCCTATGAAGCTCCTTCCCTAGTGCTTTTCTTTCACTTTACCACTAAGCTACATCTCCAGCTGTTTTTATTTATTTACTTCTAAATTTTGAGATAATCTCTTGCTGATTTGTCCAGACAGTCAGAAAACTTGCTATTCTCTTGCCTCAGCCTCCCAAGTAGCTGAGATGACAGATGTGCACCACCAATGCCCAGCTTAAAAATATTTTTTTTTGTCCCTCCGCCACAGCAACCATTGAAAAAGAATAGCCATGGCCCTCCGCTATCCCATGGCTGTGGGCCTCAACAAGGGCCACAAGGTGACTAAAAATGTGAGCAAACCGATGCACAGCCGCCGCCACGGATGTCTCACCAAACACGCCAAGTTCATGCGGGACATGATCCGGGAAGTGTGCGGCTTCACCCCCTACAAGCCGAGCGCCAAGGAGCTGCTCAAGGTCTCCAAGGACAAGCACGCCCTCAAGTTCATTAAGAAAAGGGTGGGGATGCACATCTAGGGCCAAGAGGAAGCGTGAGGAACTGAGCAACGTGCTGGCCGCCATGAGGAAGGCAGCTGCCAAGAAGGACTGAGCCCCTCCGGAATAAAGCTTTGCAGAAAGTTAAAAAAAAAAAATGTGTGTGTGTGTGTGTGTGTGTGTGTGTGTGTGTGTGTAACTATCAGGTACAACCATATGAAACTGCTGTGTCAGTAGATCAAAAATGGCAGCCGCCTGGCTCCAGGTGTCGTGGTGCACATCTATAATTCCAGGACTCGAGAGGTAGACGTAACAGGATCATCATGAGTTCAAGACCAGCCTGGGCTACACAGTGAGTGCAAGAACAGCCTAAACTCTAGCAAGACCCTATCAAAAAAAAAGATAGCTCCTAATTTCTGACTTAGTTTTTTCAACTTTACAATGATGTGAATGCAAGACATATTCATTAGAAATTGTGCTTTTTGGGGCTGGGGAGATAGCTCAGGGGAAAAAGTGCTCGCCTAGCAAGTGCAAGGTCCTAAGTTCAATCCCTAGTATTACATACAAAAAAAAAAGAAATTGTGCTTTGAATTTTATCTTTTCCAGCACCAGTTGGAAATAGACTTTTTTTTTTTTCAGTACCAAAAATCAAACTCAGGACCTTGTAGTTGCCAGGCAGGCACTTATGCTGCTAAGCTATATCCCTGGCCCTCAACTTTACTTTCTTTCTTTTTTTTTTTTTTTTTCCCATAATTTTATTGAGAGACAAATAGCAACGAGACAGTTTCAAATTTTGGTAGGACAGTTTCAATAATTAACACATTGCATACTCTCTTCCTAGCGGTTATTGGCTGTACAAGATGCAGACATGATATCCTTTTTACAAACACTCAACTTTACTTTCAACTACGATGAGGCTGTATCACTAATAATCCCATTATAAGCACATACCTCTCAACTTCCACTGTAGCCCTTGAGCCTGTCAAATAGGGAATCTGATAGGAATCTGATCCGTTACAGAATCTGATCCATTACATGATTTGGAACACAATCGGTAATTGAATATCTTTTTCTTTTCTTTCTTTTTTTTTCCATAATTTTATTGAGAGACAAATAGCAATGAGACAGTTTCAAATCGAATTGGTAGGATAGTTTCAATAATTAACACATTGCATACTGTCTTCCTAGTGGTCATTTGATGTACAAGATGCAGACATGATATCCTATTTACAAACACTATTACAACAAATCCCTCTATTCATTAAGAGAATGTAACTATCTATCCTAACCATTTTTTTTAAATTTTTTTTATTTGGGGCTGGAGAGATGGCTCAGTGGTCTAAAGCACCTACTTGAAACAAGCTTGGCAAAGCACAGGGACCGCGGTTCGATCCCCCAGCACCACATGCCAGCCAGCCCCGCCCCCTGGTGGGCTGAGCTGGCCACACACACACACAATAAATAAATGTAATAAATAAAAATAAATAAATAAATAAATAAAAATAAAAATTTTTTTTTTATTTATTTGTGTGTGTGTGTGTGTGTGTGTGTGTGTGTGGCCAGCTCAGCCCACCAGGGGGCGGGGCTGGCTGGCATGTGGTGCTGGGGGATTGAACCGCGGTCCCTGTGCTTTTGCTAAGCTTGTTCTAAGTAGGTGATTTAGACCACTGAGCCATCTCACCAGCCCAATCCTAACCATTTTGAATACACAGATACAAAAAGGACATTCATTTATATATCCCCTTTTTTGTTTAGTTCCATCATTTGAATATTATAGGTGTGTTAACTCAGCAAAATATTCTATTTTTATTTTTTTCAATGCTCGGGATTGAACCCTGGATCTTACAAAATGTCAGACAAGCATTTTATGTCCCTACCACCAGGTTTAAATATCTGCAATTTTATTTGGTTCAACTGATAGAAGAAAATGCCTAAAACTATACACTAAACTGGAAGATACAATTTTTTTGTAGGAAAGGATGAGCTCCAGTGAGTGAGATAAGGAATTTAGTAAAGGAAGCAAAGAGCAATCTCACTTTTTTTTGTGGAACCGGGAATTAAACTCAGGCCCTTATGCTTGCCAGGGAAGCGCTTATTCTACTGAGCCATCTCCCCGGCCCTCTCACTCTTAAATTGTTTAAATTTTTAAACATCTACACACTTTATAAATAAAGAGGTTTTTTTTTAACAATAATCTTTAAAAGCAAATGAAACAAATACCTCCCAGTTCCTGTTGTAGCCCTTGAGCCTGTCGAATGAGGAATTTGATAGGAATTTGATCCATTAAAGAAGAAGAATATGATTTTGGTTTTCTTTGCATAGCAGCTGTCAATCAAAGATAAAAAAATATATGAATTGTCAGAACCAACAGAAATCTTAACCCAAATGGGAAAAAAAAAAACATTACTTTTATTTTGTCGTTAGTTTGTGATACATAATAATTACATCCATTTTGAAGAAATAGCATATATATGCATCTCAATCACTTTTTTTTGCATCTCAATCACTTTTAATCCCTCCATATTACTTTTAATTCACTTAATCAGTGGGTATAATGCATAAAAAATGAAGAATCACTAACAAAATAGTGAATATACAGAAAAAACAAAAGCATATCTAAGGGAAAGATTTAAAAAATGCCCTTAAATTGAAACCTGTTGGAAAAAAATCATTATAGATGAGAGATATCATGTGCACAAGTTCACTACACTGAAAGAATTGGCAAGCTAAGAACTCCCTGTCTAACAGGAGCAAGTGCAGTCGTGCACACAAGGCTTACAATATGCACAACAGTGGTAACCAGCACTCTAATCTTTCTGTATCTCATTTTTATCATAATTTATGTTATTTCATTCCATGACTCAAGACTATAGGAGACTCTCCAGCAGGGGATCTGTAATTTGAAAAAGTATATCCACAGGTTTTATTCTTTATGCTCTTCTTTTTCAAACCATAAAATGTTAATTATAAAGCTCAACATTTTTCATACCACTGAAAGTAAAGGTCAACAATTTTTTATCTTAATATATTTTTTATGTATTTGGTACAAGGTCTCACTATACAGCTCGGACTCGTTGTGATCCTCCTGTTTTCAGCCTCCCCAGCACAGGGATTACAGGTGTGTGCCACCATGCCCGGTCTCAGTAGCCAGCTCAGCATGCCCAGTGTGGGGTGGTGAGGCATGTGGTGCCAAGGATGGAACCCCAGTCCTTGCAGCTGCCTAAGCAGGCACTTAGTCCATTGAGCTATCTTGCTGGCCTTATTTTTTTGTTGTTTTTGTTCTTTTTTTTTGAGATAGTACTTCACTAGATAGCAGTTCAGGTTGGCCTTGAGCTCACTATGTAGCCCAGGGTAGCCTCAAACTCACAGAGATCCTCCTGCCTCAGACTCCTGAGTGCTGGGATTACATACGTGCACCACCACACCCGGCTCTCTACAATATTTTTTATTGAGGTCAAGATGATTACAAGTACTACAATAAAAATCAAGGTCACTGTCTAGACAAAGCAACTCTGGGCCTTACACCTGCTAGGCAAGGGCTCTACCACTGAGAGACATCTCCAGCCTTCCATATACTCCTTGATCAAATATACTCCCCTGTAAATCAGTTAGCATCCTAATTTTCCAGATATATTTTACAAACAAAAAATGTGCAGAAGGCAGTCAAAACAATCACTACAGATTCCAATGACAGTCAAATCCCAGCTCCAGTACTTACGACACAGAGAAGTAACTTAATTTCTCTGCCCTGTAAGTTAAAGACAACCTCTCCAGTAGGACTGTTGTGAGGCTTTCCATGAGTTAACACCTGTAGCACTATTTGACACATAGTAAGTAGTGAACATAAGATCAACAGTCAAAGAAGATGTAGCTGCTCAGCATTTGCTGAGTTTAATCACTCCCTGCAAAAAAAAGAAACAAGCAAGCAAGAAAAGAATGAAGGAAAGAAGGGAAGAAGAGAGGAAGGAAGGAGGAAGGTAGGGATGGGAAGGGAGAGGAGAAAAGGAAGGAAGGAAAGAAAAAAACAAGAAGGGAACGGAGAGGCAGTAGGGGAGCAGAGTGAGATTCGGAGTCCCCAGGATCAGTTAGGGATAAACTATAACTGTCTGAGCCTATGAAGCTGAAGGCTAAAACCTTAAAACACATTTTTTAATTATTCCACAAAAGAACCAACAGCCAATGAAGTCCAACCCAAAGCAATTATTAATTCTCTTTGTAATCTCTGTAAAATATACTATCAAGGTTATTTTTAACCCCTTCAGTAAAAACTAAACTACACTTAGGAAATGCCCATAAGAACAACACTGGTCATATATAACACAACCATTCACATATATAGATTCCTCCCAGTATGAAGTTTTCAAAAATTCAAACATTTAACCTCATGCTCAGCAAAACTATAGCTATGTTTTAAATGTAACCTATTGGACCTTTACTGTCTTTGTGGAAATTTTACTTTAAAAAAAAAAAAACAAACACAAAATTTCCTAATTAACTTGAGAAGGCTTTTGTTTGGTTGTTTTGTTTTGTTTTTTTGATAGGTTCAGGCTGCCTTAACGGCAGGTATGGTGTGGCATGTAGAGCTGGGGATCGAACCGCTGTCCTGCAAGCCTTACTGGGTTTGCCTAGGCAGGCCTAATTAAGTTATCAAATTAGTACAAATCGTATACCAAAATAGGGCCCATTCTTATAATGTTACAATACTAATTATAAAATGATGTTATAAATTAAGAAGCTAATATCCTGGTAACAGACAGACACGTATTTACTTGTATATTAACTTTAAATGATACACTAAGAATAAAAGAAATTCAAAGCTTAAAAATTCAAAGTAAATCTCAGCACCT